AATACATTATTTTGAAATTCCCCAAAAATTGTATCCTCCATAAAATGCAAATTTTATCTATTTTTAATTTTTTTTAAAAATCACGTATACTTCTTATGGTTTCAAGTAATATACAGACCCGTAAATAATATTTGTAAATAAACCTAAACAATAAATGAGTATTTTTATTTTTAACTAGGATTTCATGTTTATATATGTACATAAAAACATTTTAATTTTGTTTCATAAATATATTTTTATTTCAAATTTATGTTTGTTTCATTGCAGTCGTACTTTTGTGTTTATTGTGCCGAATAACCCGTGGGGTCAGCAGCATGAACTTTGTACGTTGTCCGTAAACTATCTCACCCTTTTTGGTGGTCACTTTCGTTCAACCGAACGCGTGTGCATTTGAACGTTACTGTAGACATGATAGTAAGAAAGCTTTTCGGTACTTGAATATCATTTCTTTGAACTTTCAAACAAGTTTATTTCAGCATATGTCCGTGTATGTTGTTTCAGAATAGAGATAAAACTAATTGCCACTACTAACAAATGTATGTAACAGTTTATAGTACAGGTGGTTTCAATAAACACCACCTGAGCCTGACCCCTTGTTACTTGATACATCCTGTTAGAAGAGATTACCAAACAATACGGACACCATAAATTACAAAGAAAATTACTTTACAGCACTTAAAAGATTAGTCCTGGTCACATTCCTCTCATTACAGGCAAGATTTATGTTGAAATGTATTGAGACACCCAACTGTGAGAATGTTATAGCTTCCCTGTATTATTTAGTATTTAGCCTGTTTCACAACCAACATATGGGTTTTATTGTTGTCACTACTGAGTTTGAACCATTTGCAAAAGTTAGACTGTTTTAATTCTAATGCAATAACAACAGAAGTGTGGGTCTTACTACAAAGCAAAGATTGTAAGAAGGAAAAATATAAAATTCTTTTGTGGTACTAATAGTATTACGTACAAATCACACAAGTTTTTCATTCTAAATACTGAATCATATTATTATTATTATTATTATGAACTAAATATAAAATTATGCTAAA